TATAGTCCTGGTTGTCGTGGAACTCACTCTGTAGACCAGGTTGGCCTTGAACTCAGAAATCCACCTGCCTCTGGCTCCCAAGTGCTGGGATTAAAGGCATGTGCCACCACTGCCCTGGTGGGAATGCCTTTCTTCAAGGGCCATAGTTTGCCTGTAACTGTAACTTGCCTGTAACAATCCATGTAGGGCCTTGACCACTCCCATTCGATGACTTCCCTTCTCCCTCGTCTGTCCGTCTCATTCTGTTCCCAGGCTTCTCAGAGGATGTGTGCTCATACATGAGCTCACGGTCACTCTGTGAGACTTGGTCATCTGGCAAGTATGATACACCAGGTAAGCATTTCCCCTCCCACTGTCCTATCATAGGAGAGTCTGGAAAGCTCCTGCATGAATATTTGTCTGTGGGTGCATGAAAACATTTTTCCACTAATTTTGGTCATTTTATTTAGTCAAGATGCTATATCTCTAAGCAGCTGATGAAAATGACCAGCTAGCCACAGCATCAAATTTTTTACTGGCTGCTGAATCAATGCACCACATACCTTACCTCCTGTTGCTCTGCAGTTCATGATGGATCCCTGGTCTTGCAACCACTGGGCTGTGAGGGTCCTCCCTCTGGAAAGGGGAACCACATAACCAAGTGGATCATCTGGTTCTAGTGAGAAGCCCTAGGAAGTAGCCTGTAAATGTAACTTTCATTCTGATGAAATTGTCATCTCCAAGGCTTACTGTCTCTGTCTGCTAACCTAGGCCTAGACCTGGAAGCTTCTAGCCTCTGTACAATCTTATCTAGGCTTAGAAGATTCTCAGCCTCTGAGACTTGCTGCTGAATAAGCTCACCCTTGTTCTTTCTGAACTCTGGCTGGCTTGTTTAACTAAGCTGTTATGGCTCAAATTCCTCTCCCAGCTACTTATTTAATCTGGCTTCTCTCTCAGCCTCTGAATTGCTCTGCTTTGGCCTTAAATTAACTCTGGCAATCTTTTCTAATCTTCTGGCTCCTTCTCATTCTCTTGCTCTTTTTGTCTTCACCTGTGTCTAGCTTGTTCTCTCCCACCTGCGTCTGTAAAACTCTTCCCAGTAACACTGCCTCCTCCTCCCTCTCTGCTGATCCACTCTCCCTCTCAACTCTACTGTACTGTCTCCACAAACTCTACTGTATCCTGTGCTGTACTCTCTTCCTCCTGTTACTGCCTGTCTCTCCCTTCAGTAGCTTCCCTTTCCTCTCTCTTCTCATGAGAGTTGGGCATATCCTATTTTGGAAAATCTTTCTCTGACTCATCACTTTTTCTGCCACTCAATTAAACATCACTTTCAAACGTGGATGCTTCCTTCTACAAACTAACTTCACCTTCATCGTTTGGGATTAAAGTGTTAAGGGTGAACCACACCCTGACTAGAAACAGGTTCAAATATCCTGTAACAGTGACCCATCTGTGAACAGACACCTTTACACTTGTGCAACATCAAGAGAATGGAGAATTAGGTGTGTGTGAAATGGCTTCAGATTTCTGGGGGCTTGTTTGGGATGTCTCTAGAAGTGAGCTGGTGACCTGAGTTGTATTTCTTGGCCCTTGGTTTGGAGTTGGTTGTCCATGAGAATTCTTTGGTGAAATCTCCGAGTGAAAACCTTGGTGGGATGTTTGGTTTGATTGACTGTGTCTGCTTATGGCTTTTGAAGAAATTTGAAAGTTAAGTGACATAAGACCCTTGGGTCTTGAAGGCATCACTTTAGATCATTCAAGTATTTTCCCATGAGCACTTGCAGTGGGCTGTGTTCCCAAGATGAAACTTTTTGCTATGTCTCTTCTATGTCATCTTTCTTCCATGGAGGCTAAAGATCTTTTTACTACCTTGAAGGTTAAGGTAGTTGGTGGAGTAACCTCTCTCTTGTTACCCAGTCAGAGTGCAGATTCTGTGCTGAGGGAAAGCTAGCCAATGGTTAAAGTATTATATTATGGGCTTGATTTAATGGTCCAAAGTCCTAAAGAACTACTTCTCACTTTTGTAGTTCTCCTTCAGATACCAGGACTGACTTCAATTCAGGAAATAATCATTGAGATCCCTCCAAACTTAGAAAGCCACTTCCTGGTGTGGGAAATGAAGGGAACTCCTGGATGTGTGGATTACTAATTTATTTCAGGCCTGAAACTGGGCTTGAGGTACAGGCAGGAATCTGATCCTGTCCAGTGGCTTTGCCAGACTGGAAGTGGAAGTTTGAATGAGGGCCTGTTCAGAGTCACAGGAGAGAGGCAGTAGGCTGGAGGGAACCTACCCAGAAGTCTTTCTCCTAGTTTATCATATGGTCTTTGATAGATCTGCCACATGCTATACCTCTGCTGGGGCTGGACCGGATGTATGTCATGCCTCTGCTGGGGCTGGACCTACCCATTCTCTCAGCCCAGACACTTGCTATTTCTTCCTTCAGAAATTACACAAAAGTCATTTCTATTTTTTTTTTTTATGATCAACCCCAAAGGGTTTGATGGTGTCATATATTGCTGTATGCTTCCAGAGTGATCCTCTCATGTGCCTGTGCTGAACCAACATGGCAGGTTATGGACATTTTGTCTCTCTAACTGGACTAGGGAGTTCTTGGGTTCAGTGCCATGTATATGTCTCAGAGCCTAGCACGAGGCCCATCAGCCAATAGTACATGACCATTTGAATGAAGAGTATTGCCTTTTGAGCCTGGCGTTGTTCTAAGATCACAAACCATCCATAAGGAAGTTGCTAATTAGACTGTTGGCTACCAATGACTTTATAAATATGTACGTATGTTATTTTCCTTAGGTATTTATACAAATCACTTTAAGTTACTTACATTTTAATTATTTTAAAAACCACCAGCCTACCCAATCTTTTTTTTTCTGTAAGGTCCTTGACAGGAGATAGCTTGTACTAACTTGGGCTTCTCACCCTGTCATTCAACAAGGAAAGCTGGACAATCCCAGAAGCCAGCACGGGAGTGACAACTGAGATTAAAAGAGGAGAGGATTCCAGAGGAGAGGATTCCATAGAAATAGAGCCATGGCCCACTCTTCTTCTTGTCACTGTCTTGGAGTAGCTGAGATTTATTTTCCTCCTGTGGAAAACTGTCCCCTCACAGTGGGTGTTACAGGCAAGCCGCATTGTGTGTCTATCAGTACCTCTGTGAGCAGGTTTGTTTCGAGAGTTTTTTCTCCTAGTGATGAGGCAGGGGAGGATTCCCAGGGAGTCTATTCATCATATGACCAGAATCACTGAAAGGCAGTCCTTTTTCAAACTCGAGTTACGGGAGCTGTGTGATGTGTCGTTTATCATTGTCCTCTGTGGAGAAGCTGAAGATGGGCAAGTTCATTACTTAAACGATGTGTTCTTGTCCTTACCGTCCAATTTCCCACACTCCTCCTGGAATACAGTGATGTTGGATCATGATGAAATTTTCAATTAAAATTTTGTATTTTACTGATATTACTTACGTGCATATGTGTGACCCTATGTGTAGGCCTGTGCGTGAGAGTGCTAATGTCTGCAAAAGCCAGAGGCATTGGATCGATCATCAGATTGGTCACTCTGGAGTTTGAGTTACAGGCAGTCATGAGCCAACAGATGTGGATATAGGGACTAGAACTTGGGTCCTCTGGGAGAATAGTACATGGTCTTAATCACTGAGCCATCTCTCCAGCCTTTCAGGATAATTTCGATGAAAACTCTGATCTACCAAGCCCTCAAAGTTGTTTGCCACCAAAGTAGGGTCCTCAGTTGAGTTACTTGGCTACTAGGCTTTTCTCTCCATTTACATCTTGTTTATAAGTATGGTGTCTAACAAAGGGAAGGAATATTTCATAGGAGAACTCTAGAAAACTTTGGAAATGGGAAATAGTCTAGAAGCTTTAGAATTTCCCATGAAAGCCCAAGAAATTAAAGCAGTCAACCAAGAATTTGGAAAAAATGTAGCGCTGCTCGTCATCAGTCAAGAGACTGGCATGAGTCAACAAGAGACACACAGAAACTAAGAAATATGACTGCCAGAGTCCTTATGAGCAGGCTTGCCCTGAGAGATTTTATACCTGTGGTTGGGAGATAATGTCCGGTGAGTTCATTTGTCCTATGACTACAGTTGCTGAAAAGGAACTCTAGCTGCCCTCCAGACCCGCATCGTCTAAACACAAGCCAGGGAGGCTCAATCAGTCCTATTCACATCCTTGGAGATGCAAGAAAACCTGTTTCTGGGAAGGATCACTCTTATTCTCCCTTGAAATTGTTTCCCTCTTCAGTCCACTACAGTGTAACTGTAAGCTCCTCAGGCAGAACTCTTCCTATGCGGAGGGAGACCCTTCACGATTCTGTGCAGAAAGAGACCATACTTCCGCGGCTTTTCCACCTCACTCTACTCTGTGTTCTTAATTGATTCATTTTCATCAGGTATCTTGAATAAATGTATATCCTCTCTCTTCCATCATAGTGAACACTCAAAATAACATTTATAAAAATTTAGCTTTACACCAACATCTATTAAGAGCAAAACTCTGGGCCAAAGCTATTAATCAAATGCCATTTAAAAAGAGGATATTAAGTAAATTAGTTGAGCTGATTAAAAACACCTTCATCAAAGTAGAACATCGGTGCCAACAATATTAAGAGTTGAATTATCGATTTTGCTTTTTTAAAAAACAGAATATAGTCCATTAGCAGGGAAGAAAAACGAGCCTTCCTCCTTCACTTTGAGGACAGTATGGGGAGTGAGTGATCTACTGCTGGGATGGGGAAGGAAGTTCTGGGAAGGGAAGGACATGAAGGCAGAGGTGTCAGAGGGGCAGAAAAGAGGTTCTAAGATCAGATGCCCAGAGGAGGGCGCGGTCCAGTTGGGCAGCAGGACCACCTACATCCGCGGCGCTTGCGAGCGTACACCGGGGCGCTCCCGATCCCGACCGCCAGAGGGCGCAGCCCGAGCCGGCGCGGCGCCGGGAAGGAGGAGGGGAGCGCGAGAAGGGTCAGGCGCGCAGGGCGTCCGCGCAGCTCGGCTCCGGGAAGGGCGCGGAGCCTCCGCCGCCGGGATGCGGCCGCCCGCGCTGCTGGCGCTGTTCAGCTGCTCCGCGGGTAAGTAACGAGCGGCCCGGGCGGGCGCGGGGAGGGAGTCCGGGGCTGCCGGCCACCCCCGCGCGGTTCCAGCTGCCGCCCGCCCCGTCCCGCCCCGTCCGGGCCGCAGCGCCCTCTAGCGGCGCCACCCTCGACCCGCGCCCTCGCCATCTCCGCCTCCTTCCGCCCGGGGACGCGGGCTGGTGGGGAGGGCGCGGCCGGGTCCGGAGCCAGCGCCGCGCAACTGCTAGAAACTTTGCAAGAGGCCGCGCCTTGCCCGCCCCTGCGCGCCGCCCGCCCGCCCTGCGGTGCACACCTCGCGCCCCACTATGTGCACCCCGCCCTGTGTGTCCCCAGCGCCCCGCCGAATGCATGCGGCGCTCCGCGGTGTGCACTCCGCACCTCACCGTATCTATTCTGTGCCCCACGGCATGCATGCCGCGGCCCGCCGTGTGCACTCTGCGCCCCACTACGTGCACACCGTGCGCCCCACCGTGTGCACCCCCTGCTTGTGCGCACTCCGTGCCCGGCCGTACACTCCCTGCTCTCTACCGTGTGCCCCTGTGCCCTACAGCTTACACTCATGAGTCCCATAGTTGTGCGCCCCATCCCCCTAGATGTGCATCCCCGCGCCCCACCTTGTGCACACCCCTCGATCCAACGTATGCATTCCCGATGCCCAGCCCTGCATATCCCGAGTCCCACGTCGTTTAACCCCTCCCGACCTTGAAAACCGTCCCCCACCTCACCGTGCATACCCCATATCCCACTGTGTGCACCCGTTCTCTACCTTGTGCACTCCCCCGTATCCCGCCCTGTGCACTCTGTTCCTCCTGTTGTGGACAACCTGCGCCTGGCCATGCGTACCTCCTTTCCCGCTCCTCCGTATGTACTCTGGATCTCCTGCTGTGCATGACCCCTGTCCCACTATGTACACCCCCCATTTCCCCAGTCAAGCACACACCATTTTGCCTTATGTACTCTATGCATTCCATCGTGTGTCCCTTGCGACCCTACCCAGCCTCAAAGAACACTGATACAGCCATTAGCACGCCCTGTGCCCCAAAGCCCTCCCCCACCCTCCGTATCCCTTGCGTCGCACTCGCTGTACCTTCAGCTCTTATAATTTCCAGAGACCTCCTCTTTCTCTGTACCACTCCCTAGGAACCTACAAACTTGACCTGTGCTCTTCGTAATGCAGTTGGGCAAGGAGGAGAGGGAGGTCAGGGAGTTAGGAGCCTTGGGGCCTCAGGGAAAACCAGAGAACTGGTCTCAGGCTGTCCAGTTGTCGTTCCTTTCTTTCCATTTTCTGGAGGCCGTTTCCACCCCCTTTCAGCTAAGATGATGTGAGAAAAAGTTATAAAGTCATCGCGAATGACTTTTTATGATATTTGTTCAAGTTTGAAAGCGTGGGTAAAAAAAAAAGATTCTTTGCAGCTTGTCATAATACTTTTCTCTAACCCTGACTTGCTTGTGTTTCCTGCTTCTGAAAAGGCAGAATTTCAGAGTTTTAGAAATGGCAGAGTGGAGCAGTTTAGGGAAAGACTTAGTCCACGAGAGCCTTGACAGCTCGTTTGTATTTGGATTTATGCTTTCTGAATAAGGACGTTTTTTGTTTTGCTTCTGTGTACTCCTGGCATTTCTTCCGGTGCTCACTAAGTGTGAGAAAATTGAGCGAGATTAGCTTGTAATTAATTGCTCACTCACATGATTAATTTGGCAACACTGTAATTTAAAATGTTAGGGCACCTTGGACCCAGAAGGTAGCAATTGATCATGAGGAATTTGGCCAGAGACCATGGGTTGGAGAAAACATTGTTGAGTCCTGGGGAAAGGCAGGCAACAGGGCTGGGAAACTGGGTGACCCAGGCTGCTTCCGTTGCTTTATTGCCAGTAGGCTTTGCAGCTATCCAGCTGGGTGGGTGGTGGCTGAAATTGGTGTTCTGTTTATAGCATTGCATTTAATAATAATATTTGTATATTACTGACGCAGCATATAGGCTGAAAGACACATTAGTATTTTCTTACCCCTTAAGGGGATATTTGATTTGATGAAAACACAGGAAAGACATTCAGAATGAACTAAAATGTCAACATGTTTTTAGAGATATCTCCAAACCTCAGGAAGTCAGTAGATAAACACAATAAATGGGACATAAAACCCCTTAAAAGGTTTCTGTGAGAAGCTGGGGAGATGGCTCAGCAGTTAAGAGCACTGGCTGTTCCTGCAGAGGACCTGGGTTCAGTTCCCAGCACCCACATGGTGGCTCACAGCCATCTAAACTCCAGTACCGGGGGTTCTGATGCCACCTTCTGACCTCCATAGGTACCAGGCATGTGTGGTGCATATACATACTATACACAGGCAAATTATTTATAATAAAAATAAAATCAATCTTAAAAAAATCCAAGCCCCTGTGAGACACTTAGAGTCTTGTGAACTGGCTTCCATGAGTTAGTACAAGAATGAGCCTGTTCTTTCTTTCGTGCCTGGTGTTAGTTCTGTCCTTTGATATAAGGAGAGGGACATTGAAATGTCTAAAGATGTGGCCTCCACTCAGAATCCTGTTGAGAGTAACATACATGACGTAAGAGTCATTGAATCATCCTGATAGTTTAGAAGAAGCTTTTGTCCACCCCTGTAAGAGTGGTCTGACTGGGTAGTTTCCTCCCAAGCTAGCACATTCATTTTATATTTTATTTTAGGAAAGTCAACATAGAAATTTCATTTTAAACCCGTGTGTATGCAGACAGGAAGTTGTGGTGGCTTCAGTTCTAGCGTCTGGAATGAGTTCCAGAGGGAGATTTACAGCCCCTTAGTCACCATTCATGAGCTCTATGGCCTTTAGTGGCTTTGAGCCTTCATTGTTTTATATAAAACTTGGGACAGGGACTTGATAGACGCCTGGGAATTTTGCTGTCTTGTAAGGTTTTAGCATACAGAATCTGCCAGAGAAGGGACTATTGTCTACCTTGTAGCCTTTGGTTTTTCTTTGTCTAGCTAGGCTTGTTTGGATTATATAGTGTTTAAAAGGATGGGCAGAGGGATACCCGTGATGATGTCATTATGAGATATTTCTCAATGGCTCTTGTTAATTGGGGTGGCCAATGAGAGATCTATAAGGATTATGAGAATGCTCATTTAAAGTGTCTGGCGCAGCCAGGATATAGACCTTTGGGGCTTGTTTTATCCTTCTCCCTGAGTTGTGTGGACCTGATGGCTGGGAGGCTCTGAAGGCCACCTCGTGGCCATGAGATCACCAAGAAAACAGGAAAGCAGGTAGAGAGAAGAAAACAGCCTGGATACCAGATGGATGCGGAGTGCCACAGCAGCCCTGTCTGTCACCTCCTTCCAGCCTTCTATTGCAGGAGACTGTATGCAGCCAAAACCAATCTTAATTGATACCTCTGTGGAAAAGATGACCCAAACCAATGGTAGAATAATAGCTATTAGCTTTTATCTTCCACGTCCCTGTCTCTCTTCTCCGAGTGAGCCAAGATTGTATTTCTTAGCACCTGCCAAATTGAGATGATTTCTTTTTCTTCCGAGCCAAGTCTTGCTCGGATTCTTTTCATTGCCTTGAGTTAGAAATGTTAAGACAGAAAGAGTAAACCTAGTTCTGCATTTTGTGCATGAGTTTTTTTTTGTTTGTTTCTTTCTTTCTTTTTGATTTTGCAATGTCTCTTTTTGTTTCTCAAGTCACTCATAGATATCACTGGCAGTGGTTTTAATTCTCCAGTTAGATTCATTGTCATTGGGGACCCGCCTCTGGCAACTTGTCATAATCTGCTTGGTCCCGGACTTGGCCCTATGATCTTTGCCTGGAGCCCACCGTCAAATCCTATAATACCATGACCTCAAAGTTCTTACCCAAGCCTCTGCCAAGAAAACTGCATTCAGTGGGGGAACACATTTGAATTGCTAGATAGAGTTGATTTCAGAATCCTTAAGAAGACCGTTAAACGGAAAGACTATTTGGAGCTTCATTATTCAAAGGTAATTTTTGAGGACCCACTCTGTGTTGGGTACCGAGATGCCCCAGGAACAAGAGTAAGCTAGCTCCACCCTTGTGGAGATGGCTGCATAGGAGGGAAAGTGACAGTCAATAATTAAACCAGAAGTTCAGGATGCTTTAAGGCCGTGCTGCAGGGAGACCTTTGCCTTCCATCTGGTCTGGTGTGGCAGTTCTCAACAGAATAATGCTTGTTAATAGCAAGAGGCTTTCTGGATGTCTCTGGGTCACCTGTGTAGCATCTAGAGCCAGGGATGTTGGGAAGCAGTGGTTCTCAGCCTTCCTAACACTGTTCCTCTTCATTGCAGTTCCTCATGCTGTGTTGACCCCCAACCATAAAATCACTTCTGTTGTGATTTTATGACTGTGATTTTGCTGCTATTACGACTCATAATACTTTCTTATGTAAATATCTGTGTTTTCTAACGGTCTTAGGCAGCCCCCAAGGGGTCACGACCCACATTTTGAGAATTGCTGCCTTGAAGTATCTTACAAGGCACAGGAGAAATCTGCCCAGATACTTAACAGTTTTGTTGCCTGGCGTGATGGTTAGTATATGCTTGGCTCAGGGAGTGGCACTATTAGGAGGTGTGGCCTTGTTAGAGTAGGTCACTGTAGGGATGGGCTTAAGATTCTCACCCTAGCTGCCTGAAAGTCTTCCATTAGGAGTCTTCAGATGAAGATGTAGAATTCTCAGCTCTGCCTGCACCATGCCTGCCTGGATGCCCTCATGACACATGGATTTATGAAGATGCCATCATGAAACACATTCTTTTGTATTAGGTAATTTAAAAAACTATTTTAAAACCCAAGAGATACTTTCAGACTCCATGATTGATTGGGGCAGTGGGCTGAGAGAAAACTGGGGTAAGAATGAGTCATCTTTTCATTTCCTGCTTTATTTTGTAACCTGGGGATCAAACCCCTGGGTCTTGGGACTGGTGAGATGGCTCAGTGGTTAGGGGCACTTGATGCTTTTCCATTGGACCAGTGTATGGTTCCAGGCAC